GAGGAGACGGAAGTTCCATGGGGGATCAGAGTGAGAGAGCCGGTGGATAAGCGCAGAAGTACCGTGTACCTACAGTGTGCAAAAGGACTCTGTCTCACTCTACCTCACTCGCCCACTCTCACGGCTATTCTCTAGAGGGGATTACCTTAAACGCAAGCGCCAGCAGGTCCCCATTGTTTAGAGCGTATGGCTAACTGAATATATCTCGCTTGCTTGTTTGAGCGCCGAAGATGAGCTTTCGATGCATTGCCGACGATTTAATGCTTCAGCTAAGCTTGCCAATCTTATCCTTGATTGAGAGGTCTTGGATCAATTTCTTTTTGTTTTTACGGTTGGCTTCCTTACCCAGACATTTTACTTATTTTCGTTTTATTTTCAATAGAATGAGGCTTTCCATACTGCTTCTTGTGAAGAAAAATTGGCGCAAATAAATGCATCTGTGCTACAAAAGTTGCAACTCTATAGGACAAGTGAAAAATACATGAACATTTTTCATTTCAATAGCAATTGTCAATAAGTGGTTATCTTATCGGAAAAACCGAGTTTGTTAGTCAAGCGCATGGTAATCCGAGGCATGCGAATAAACGCATGAAAGTGCAAATAATCACCAATCTAAAATCGAATCGCCGGGCCGAATGAAAGGCCTTTCATTTCCAGAGGACGATGGACACTCGAAAAAGTAAATCAGAACGAAACAAAGGCGAGCCAATCGTTATCACGTCCACTATAATTTCACGCTCCCTCTCTGTTTGCTTAATCGTTTTCCTTTACATTCGCGGACGCGTCGAATTGGGTGCTTTGAATAAATTAACCGGCTGCTTGGTAATTAAATAATGAAGGCGCGCCGTTGCGAATCTAATCAAACATTTATGCTAAATCATGAGAGAGAGAGAGAGAGAGAGAGAGAGAGAGAGAGAGAGCGAGAATCCGAACGCAATCAGCAAATAAAAGCAGCCCTTTTCGTCGATTGCTCTCGCCTTAAGCCCCGCTGGTCATTTGACTCTCTATCGCTCGGTCCTATTTACTCGGCGCGCAACCGGACAAAAACTTGATGGACATTCCACGCCGGACAAAAGGCCTGCTCTATGTAAATTCTGAGCGTGTCGTGGAGCGAGGGGTGTGGCGGTGGCGGCGGCGGCGGTAGGTTTAAGAGTGGCGCGCGCGCTTTCGCATTTACATAGCCAACTCACACATTCTGTGACTCTCTAGCGCTCGGCCAAACGCTCTTGTTCCTCTTTCGCGTTGATTGCCCTCGTTTATTAAGATTAAAACTTTCCTACGGGCGCGGCTATATTGTCATCGGCTCTGTCACTGCATTTTTGCGAGACAATATTACTCTGCAGCTAGTTCACTCGTGGCATTTTGTCTTTCAAGGCCCAGCGGACAATTATTCGTATGACTTCTCAATAAATACCATTTCTCGCTCATCACTCATCGGAATTGAAAGGGAAATCCGGGAATCGCAGCATCTGCGCCGATCCGACCAGAAAACGACTCGTCGAAAACTGATTTATACGTGTACAAAACTACGCGGCGGTGGAAAATAATCATTCCCCTTCCCGCAAAAGCCACACTGGTTGTTGTATAATACAATGGTTGATTACACCGATGCGAGCTCGCGCGATGATGCTCACACCCTCGCGCGCGCACGCGCGTTCGCCCGCGCATCATTTATCAAACTCGGCTATATGCATGGCGGACGCAAACGCTATACTCTTTCTACATTCTCGACCCGTCACCGCGTCATTTTCATCTGCGATCTGTATTATTCTTATCGCCGCCTAGCCCGGGCAATGTTCAATTATTCAAGTGTCGGATTATCGACAACGGCAGAGGGTTGGGGAAGAGTCCTCGATGACAAATATTTCTGATATGTATATTTCGTTTGACGACTGCCTAGGTTGAAATATTGAATTGTCCATTCGTAGCAGACAATCGCTATATCGTCCAATTTTTCATCAATAATGGATTTGGCGAGCAAGGTTTTGTGAATGAAAAAAAATATTATTTCGGCGCGCAATAAAAAAATCTCGAGTTCAATAAAAATTTATATCGAGGCAAAATATCAGCCCACAAAAGCCCCTATGCACTTGTTTTGCTAGCTCGAAATAAAGGAAAAAACAATAGCAAATGCGCGTATGCATTGTGTGCCACCAAAATCCAACCGAACGCACAATGCACTTTGCAATATAGAGGAGAGTAGAACACGAGAGGCAAGTATATACCGAGAGAAAGAGTTAAGTACCGAATGAGAGAGACGCCAGAGTTTAAAAAAAGGCAATGCGCGGACACACACAAAGTGATGCAAGAAAGGAAGAGGGTGGGGTGCTGGAACGATTAGATTTTCAAATGAAATCCACGAGCAAATCGTGCGTGCTTCTCTCTCGAGATCTCTCTCTCTCTCTCTCTCTCTCTCTCTCTCTCTCTCTCTCTCTCTCTCTCTCTCTCTCTCTCTTTCCCTCTCTTTTATTTCGCCGAGTGCATCGGCCGCCGCAAAAAAAGAGAGAGACGAGGGTTCCAATGCGTTTTAGCGCTATACGGATCAAATGCGTTACCGCGGACACCGAACGAGAAAATGAAAGAGAGGGAGAGGAGGGATTAACGTGCTGTTAAATAGAGCGTGAGCCAGTCTCTATAGATGCAACTGAGTTTTTTATGGGGTTCGTCCTGAAAATTTTTTCATAAATTTAAAAAGCCACTTATCTTTCTGTACAAGTTTCATTTGGTGTTTTGCACGCCTGTCCTATCATAAACATGTAATTAATAGAGACCCGCTCGAGCGAGTTAAGAAAAAGCAAATGGGAAAGCGCTCGATTGAAAAGAAAAGTCAGCATGCTCGCGCTCAACTACATACATAAAAGATCAAGAATCCACCTGCAGAACAAAAAAAATGGGAGTGTTGACTTACTGAAACAAAGGCTTCGGTGCAGGCTTTAAGCTGTCATTACCTGTCGATCAAAGAGAAGGGGTTAAACTGGCCTTGCGGCTCTCTCGCGATCGATACGATTTGACAACAATGCGTACGAAAAAAAGCAGTGCGAAATTCGAAAAGCGTACGCGTCTCGAGAGCTAATAAGAGTACAATGCAGCGCTAAGCCGAAAATCAAAGTCTCTCTCATAAATTATAGGGTTCTGCACCGACGTTACGAAGGGAGAGAGATTGAGCTCCATTGTATTCCCTTTTATTTTCGAGGTTCTCTGCTGGTTGTTTTTTAAATGCTTGTGGCTTCTGTTGGCTGCCCTTTTGAAGTCTGCGAAGTGTCTCGGTTCGCCTGATTTCGTCGCAATAATGAAGTTTTTGTCGTGTTCTGCTTGTGCGCGGTAAATTCTTTTGCTTCGTTGCATATGCCCTCATATTCCAATCGCATGCACATTCAGATCTACATTTTAATGTTACGGGGGTAATGATCAGATTCATCAATTAATCTGTAGCTTCTATTTCCGCTCTTGATTGCTCTTCTAACGTAGCAGTCACATTACGGCATATAGTCGAAAACCCAACAGAATGAGAATAGAATCGCCATAAAAACTCGATGATCCGCGGGCATTTGTGGGAAAAAGTGAGACTCCAGATACATGGCGAAAGCCGCAGTAGCAGTAGGAGAGCAAGAGTGAAGAACCCTCGAGGCAGAGAGAGAGGGGATTGAGAAATCATCGGTCTCTCTTCGCCCGCGATCAACAGAATCGCAGAAGCGAGGATTACGTGTTTCACATTGAGTAGGCACTTCGTTCGTGACCCGCCTTTTTCAAAGGACGTACGACGAGACGCTGCTTGTGCAAACGAGGATGTCAACAGGTTCGCTGTGACAGATCCACTTCGCTTTTTCTCTTCTTCTTGCATGAATTATATCGAGGGATTATTTCGATTGGTCTCTATCAGTGCGCGCGAATTTCGTTTGATTTTATATGTATCGAGCAAATATGTATTTTTAGCGACCATCAGTTATAGATTCCCTTTGATACTTTGCCGAGACATTTGTTCTTGTAATAACTTGAAAGTGATTACGAATAAGCTTGGAATCGAAAAAAGTGAAACAAATTAATATTCCACTGATGAGAGTATGCATACGTGACATTCCAAGCAAACCGCAGAAAAAATCTCGCTCGCTCTTTTAAAGGATGCATTGCATGCGAAGAATGCCATCATAAAAATCGGTGAGCTCTCAAACAGCGTGCTTGCGCGAGAACCAAGACCTCAAGTACCCTCTCGGGGTCTCAGAGCTGTGGGTGCTAAATCCAGGGCGTAAACACTGACCGCGACATAAAACACGGGGTTACTCTTGCGCTCGTATTTATATTCATAGGCGTGGTTATCGTTTTTTTCTACGTCGAGCAAGATTGAAGAGACGAGAAAAGAATGTATCGACAAAAATGAAAGGTTATGGTTGCGCCCTTGTCTCCTTTAGATACGATGATCTATCCGATCGAGCCAAGGGGCATATTCTTTGGGGTTTCGTGGTTAGCCTCATCGTTAGTTGGCTTGATATCTGCGTCTGCGAAGAGGAGGTACGTCTTTCGTCTTCGGTACGAAGAGATGTACTTTTGCTGGGTGTTATGGGGCGACAATATTGGACTTGCGGGTGTTGGGGCGTTACCGACCACGGTTATTTGATTTTTTAAATAGTAATCATAAATAATATAGATACCTTTCGGATTTTAAATGAGTTTCTTATTATTCGATCGTTTGTTTTTGAATTCTTTTAGCGCTAAATACAAATGTTTCGTACAGATTCGTTCAAACTGATATATTTATTTTTAAATAAGTATTTTTTTCACTGTTTCTCGATGATGGATGTATATCAATGAAAACTGATAGTTTAAGATTAATTGATAATAATATTAAGTGCATATATTTTTATCGTTACCACTTTCTTTATCTTTCTTTCTCACCCCTTCATCATCGAATATTTTAACGTCTACGAACGGTCAGGAGGCGACCGGTCCTACTCCAAAGAGTGATATTAACCTTCAGTAATTGTGCATGTACAAGTCGTCACCTAAAGATCATACTTCACGCGATCATTTATGTAGTGTATCTTTGCAAACTTTCTACCCAAAGTAGGAATCAATGCTATTACGACGGTGAGAGACGGCACCCTTCCTGAAACGCAAGGAAGACTCGGGAACTTGGCTCTTGTTGTGAGGTCCCAGCATCGATGATCATTCACGGTTCACCGCTTACACTCTGTGCTCTCCTTCCCATCTGAAATATATGGAAAGGTTAGTTTCCGGAATGGTTTTTTCAATCTTATAAATGAATATAGGGAACCATTTTTTTAACGGATAATTTATCTTTTAGAGAAAATGTTTAGTTATTGAATTTCGAAACTTTCGACGTATTGATATCCTAACTATATTAAGTGGCCTAAAATTATCATTTTTCCTAGTGAATGACACATATAACACACCAATCAGCAAAAGCTGCAGCAGCACAAACATTAATCATATGACTTGCCGCCCGATTACACCTCCCTCTCTCTCGCTCTTTCAGTGTAATTAGCAAGAGCGAGTAGCGAGCAGCATGGATGAAAACGTCAAAGCCCCGTCTACAGTCGCTCGCATCCATAAACACACTCGCACACGTAAACACATGAGCAGCTTTCACGGGCTACTGCAGAGCATATAATCTAGCGACGTGTAACGCGATTAAGCGAAACGTCGTCGTCGTCGTGGCGGCGGGGCAAGTCTGGCAAACCGCAGACTCGTAACTAAGGTCCGGCGCAGTAGTCTGAGCGTCGATGAGTAATGCGAACACGTATATGCACATATAGCAGGCAGTAGCAGCAGCCTCCCACTCACGCCTATAGTTATTAATTGCAACGGGCGCTTACATGCCGCTGCAGCTGCTGCTCTTCTAAGTGCATTCGTCAGTAATTGCTAATATCGGTAATAGCTGCAAGGTGCTGCGCTGACTAAGGAGCCTCGTTTGCAACAATGATTAGCCCCGTGCAAAAAGAACTGAGCATAAACTCGAAACTGCAAGTGATACAGTCGTCTGTTTATTAACGGTCATCAACATAAATGAGAAATTTCGTTTTTGTTGTGGTTGTCGTTCAATGCTATTCTAATATATAACATGAAAAGGCACGTCGAATTACATAGCTACAAGTCTATCTAACAATGTACCAGAAGGCTGCGCATTACTCAACTTGATAACTTGATCTCAGTGATTCTATAACCGTGCTCACGACTAGAGCTATTTGTGGATTTTCACTCAATAATATTATGTTTCGGATCATACTTTGGCTACTGGTTTGCGTATTTGACCTACGTATGACATTTGACTCAATATAGAATTGAATTTAAGGGTTAAAAAAATTAATCTTACTTTTTCCACTTTAGATACTTATTTTGAGCGTTGTCGTAACAACTGTAATTATGAATACTCATTATGCCTCTGATTACAGCATAGGTGATTTAATAAAAATACAAAAATTCAATGTTCAAAGTTATTATGCAAAACACCTCATTAATGAGGGATTCAAAATCATTATATTGACCTGGAAAACTTAGCTTTCGTTATTTATTGAGTAATCTTCAGAACTTGATTACCATTTTACAAGTGTGACTGTCAAACTGAACTATTTCTAAATCTTCAGTGATTAAAATATATATTAAATATTGTTAAATGAATTATGTTACTGTTTAAAATAATAATTCATGAAATGAAAATTAGCTACACCTAACGTAATTAGCCCATGCACGATATTCAATCGTGTCGGTATGTTTCATTGGACAAAATAATTAACTCTAACAGTGACGGTAAAGGTCGATGGACAAAGAGTAGATGAAGTGAAAAAAATAAAAAAATTTGAATAGCAATGAGCCGCGTAATTACGCGTCAGTGCACTACGCAAGCGTGACGGTACCTCATTCATACGCACGTTTGATGACGCATCGTGGAACGACAGTTTTGCATGTGGCATAAATTGATTTGCGTCAAAACAGATACGTAATACTAATTGATACTTTCAGTGTTAGCTAATTTATTAAATTTGAACCATTGATGCCAATGCCACGTTTGAAAATTAAGAAAATGTTGTTAAAATGCCAATTTAATTTTTATTTCCTTGAATAATCATTCTCTCTTCTCTTTTTGAAAGGCACTTTTCTAAATAAAATTTTTTATACTCTTTCCAATTTTTTATAGTTCTTATCGATTCCAGCCAAAATTCGTACTCACCGTTATTTCAATAAAGTCTTTCTTCTATTCAAAGTCAGAACCAGCGGTCATCGAAAAAAAGTACACTCAGTCGACACTGTACATATATTCTCTCCAAAAATCACAAAGCCACACGACAACCCTCGGCACTAGTATCCAAATGAACGATTTGTCCATTCGTGCTACATATGCACAATAATCCAAACACAGAAGTGGCTATAGGTCTACAGTCAGCCGTTAACGCAAATATCGAACTCGCATGATCGACGATCATCCTTAAAAGGGAAAGAAAGATTGTAAAGTGCATTTCTCCTTTTGACCCCTGCTGGCCTATTCTCCACAAATACGAAATGAGAAACAAATTTACGCAACTACAGCTCTCCCAATTAATTTTCCATCGGAGAACAGATATATGTGAATCTATACTCCATTGTTATGGTCCAAGTGCGCGAATCTAGACAACGGCACGTGCCAATGTATAGAGGGTGGTGGTTGTGTGCTTCGTGCTTCGCTCCCTTTCTCGAGAGTCCAGCATGTATGTGTGTGTGTGTGTGTGTGTGTGTGTGTGTGTGTGTGTGTGTGTGTGTGTGTGTGTGTGTGTGTGTGTGTGTGTGTGTGTGTGTGTGTGTGTGTGTATAGAGAGAGAGAGAGAGAGAGAAAGAGAGAGAAAGACAGTGATAGATGACCGTTACGTGGATCTGTCAATGCGGATGTGAATTGAACATTACACACGAACGCTGAGATAAGAGATAGAAAATTTTTTTCCTCGAGATAGCGTGATTTCATCCTGAAAATTTGGGGTTTATCGAATTAGTCGCGATTCGATAAACAAGAAATCCTCTGCACTGATGGTTTTGTGACTTGGTCCAAATTTTATTATTTGATTGTTGTTCGTATAATAAAACAATAACCATACGTCATATTCTAGTAGAAAAATAATGCAGATAACAAAATTAATAAATAAATATAATTCCTACAGACTTTTCTTCTCATTGCACGATTTACGAAATGCAATTTTCGTGCTGGGATTGAATCGAGAATTTACCATAAATGAGTGTCGCGACGCTGACTTTTTTACACACATTAAAAGTCATGGAGAGTTATTGGGTTATTGATAAAGATTTAGATTTTCCTGCATAATAAATGGTGATTTATCGGATTACTTCTTTTAATTTGAATTTTGTCAATTATCGGCATTGTAAATCTCATCAAAGACATATGTCAACATAATTTATTTTTTGTAAAGAGTTAAATTGAGTGTGTAAAAAAGCATTATTAGAGATGTTAAGGTATTAATAATCCAGTTAAACAGTAATATAGACGGATGTCCTGTTTATTTATACTTGCTTTCAAAATTTATGAGTAGAACGGAATCGATGACTCCACAGTCAAATGAAACCACAAACGAAGGTGACAAGATAAATGCTTGATCGTCTATGTCGAGCACGTTATCGACGGGTCAATTAGCCAAAAAATTGCCGACGCCGAGAGTCGACGAATGAGAGAGAAGAATGGGAAAAAAGTAATTCGATTTAGTGTGTGTAGGGGAGAAAATAGAAAGAGGAGTGTTGTATTCAGAGATAAGCGAGCGAAGATGCCAGTCATCCCCTAGTAATTAGTCAAGGGTAGGTTTGACTCGCTGGTGAAGAGAGACAAGAGATTTGAAAGCATATCGCGCGCTTCTATTCTTGTTGACAGACACTGAATATGTATGAGGGCGAAAAGTCATGAGCCATCGGTATGCTACAATCATAATTGTAACCATACCCCGTGGTATTGAGTAAAAATAATCTTTTTAGTGAGTGCGTTTACAAATTACGAGTCTCAATCGAAAGTTGGCTTTGATTTATAATCTATGTGCAAGCAGAAAAAGATATACTTGCCTTCTATTCATGATATTCTACTTGGATTGACGATTGTTGCGCTATATACCACAAGGGCTACTAGCAGATTAACAGCACGACAGTCAGTCGCTGAGATGAATGAATATCTTGATTTCGAAGCTGATTCACTAATGTAGTTCGCTTTTGGGGTCAACGAGTCAAGATGGATTGAGTGTAATTTACTGATTCACTATGCTGTTTCTTTAATTTTTATACTGTACATTTATTGGTTAAAATTATCAAAAAGTAGGATACAAACTTGAGTGATTTGTTATAGCTTTGTAAATCTTGAAAAAGATGTCTCAATAAGATCATTCATGAAAATCAATCTTGGCGAAAACCATCTGTGCAATCTCAACAAATGCCCTGTACAACTATTACTAAACTCTCGACAAGACAGTCTCTTCTGGCTTTACTGCCAGTTAAACGTTACGGTACTATGTAGGAGAAACGTCGTGGTGACGGCACCTCTCTGCACACAGCCAATCCGATTTTCGCCCGGCTGCGTGTAACATCAATCTCTTCTTGAGTTTAAAGGCAGCCCGTAAAAAAGAAACACACAAACCAACAAGAAAACAAAAGCTCGCTTGCGACCCTCTCGCGCGCGATTTTACAAAATTGGCCTTGCAAGCGCCCATAAAGCATAGCGCTCGATCTATTTTTATTATACAAGGCTACATATAAAAAAGAGACTTTCAATTTAGCATTTTACGATTGTTGATAATAAGGGTTGAGAGAAGAAGAAGACGCAGGTGGGTTGCTGGAATTAGAAGAGAAGAACGTCTTTTGTAAACAGGCTCTAATGCCTGGTTACGACGACGACGCTCGACGCGAACTCGCTTCTTTATGATATTGCTGGATTAGACTTGGAATATTTCACACTCGGGGATATATCCGCCACTTTTGCACGTGTTACATTTTACGAGGGATGAAAGGGCCTCTCTCTCACTCTCTCTCTCTCTCTCTCTCTCTCTTTCACACATACACGCTCGACGATATTTATCCACGTAAGGAATATCACGCACACGAACGAAAACTAACTACATGCGTTCTGAGGAGAAAAGTAAGAAGCCTCATTTTTACCCTCTAACAAAAGTCAAACCAATCTTGTTGCTCATTTTCGAACCTTAGCTAGTTTCTTTAAGTCTGTTACTTCATTTAATGTTGCCTTATTTTTTAGTTTCATCAGTTCA